AAGTCATTGCATTCTCCCAAGAAATACTTTCATTATAAAATACATCCGACATATATTGAAGCGCATATATCGAATATGAAATCTTATTTCTTTAATAAATAAAGTTACTCGAATAAAAGCATCTAATATAGCGATATATATTAAAAGTCATATAAAAATCGAACAGACAAGTCGGGAGACTTACAGAATAATAGAATAACAGAATTAGCAAATTGTTCAATTACCTATCTTAATTATTAATATTCTAATTGAATTTGTAATCCATTAGCCAATCAGTTTTTTAATTTTATGATAACCTTCTTTCCTTGTTTAATAGATTTATTAATATATGAAAGAATGAATAGGAGAGTGAGAAAAAGAGAAAGAAGGAAACCCTGTGGAAAATTCACGGAGTCCCATTTTACTATGACTTATAGCGACTCGGGATTGACAGTGTACTTGTTCATTCATTATCAGATTCAATTACCTAGTTTATTTATTTTATTTAGTGCGATCAGGCAGATCATAAATTGTGTACGAGAGAGATTCCTAACAGCTAACACCAAACTTTTCTTAACTTTTGTATCTATAAGTTAAATGTCTTATATGATCGGTATCTTCTTTTTTATATTCTTTTCAATAAATCTTGCTTATCACTTGTTTTTAACGGAATTATCTGTATTTATAATTAATAATCCTAATAAAAAATTCCTGAATATTTCGTCAGACTATATACTTCAGATTTAATAAAAAAAAATTAATTAATAATATCTCACTTTATTAAAAAATTACGGCTCTAAATATGTTCATTTATGGTTTAATTTTATCTTATGAATGATCCAATAACGTGTTGTGTACGCAGTACCCCGGAACACTTTAATTTATACGCGCATTTCTTTCAACTGACAACAGGTGTCATGCCGCATTATGACATCGAGCGAACAGCAAGATTTGACGACTTGGAAAAAAGAAAAATTTTTCATAGAAAAAAAGATACAGCATTTATTTCATGTGTGTGTGTGTGTGTGTGTGTGTGTGTGTGTGTGTGTGTGTGTGTGTGTGTGTGTGTGTGTGTGTGTG